AGCCTCGATTTGCCGCTGCTTACGCCCCCTATTCGTTTGCGGCTACCGCCAAGAATGCTAGCACAATCTTCAGTGAGAATAGTTCTGTCTCAGAGCCTCATGCAATGTTTAAAAACAAGAAGAAGCAAAAACTTTTTTTCAGAGAGTTCAAAAGCTTTTTGGCATTTCTTTCGCTTTTTGCTCTTTTTTTGAATAGACTTTTTGGAGCTTGTTCTTGAACATGACATAACCCTCCTTGTTTCTTTATCTGGACTTCTGTGCATCATTGCTGCCACAATTGCCTATTCCCTTTCTAAGTTTGGTTTTGTGAACGAGTCTTTTTATCCCAGAATGTTGCAAGCCATCACTCTTGATCACAGTTGTCTCATGTTTTCATGCTGCTATGTGGAATGTTGTTTCCTTCTGATCCTGAGCCTCTCTGCTGCTCTAACCATTGCGCCTCTCCTCGTCGTACTCTTCCAGCAATAAATTTGTCGTTCTCGCTTCTGAGCCGATAACAGCGTGCCGTGTATTGCCGATCTATTCACGAGCTTCTCTTTCCGCTGGTTACTGTACGGATTTTCATCAGAGCACACGCTGGGTCAGGGCCGGTGTGGTGATATATTTTCTACTATGCCTGCACATGGAAAAATTCCATCATATGAAGTACCGCCGCAGCCCCGATACTACGAAAGTCAGTGTTAGGGGCGCTAGCGACTATCTCATGTGTGAACGCTTCAATATGAAAGCGAATAAACCGCCTATTCGTTACTATGATGTGTTTACGACTATGCATTTTCGCTTAGAAGGTAAACACTTTTTTTCATTTTATTCACTCACCGATAGCCTTTTGTCCTTGCGACGAGAATGCGGGCTTTTTTCGTAAGACTGCATTACCATCACTAGAACAATCTTACATGCCTGACTGCTTTTGGCGCCGCTGAAACTGGATAGGACTATTATTTCTGTCACTTACTCTCGGAAGCTGCTAGATTACGAGGCACGGCTTGCCTTTGGGAGAATTCGCAAAATAGGAGCCTCCCTCGAAATTTCCTCCTCTGGTGCGACCTTTTTCCTCATCCCTCATCCTTCTTGTTATCGTCCAACTTACACAACTTTTTCGAGTTTTTTTCTAAAAATTGCCCGAACTAAGTCAACAACCGAGGAACCATTTTCTGATCAGCGGGAAAACATTTTCCCTCGACATTCTTCTTCATGTTGCAGTAGTTAGCACGCTGTTCCTATAGTAATAAGCGCGGCGAGGCACTGTAATTGCGAATGAGAGGAGTCTGTGCCAGCCAGCGGCAGAAGAGCCGGCACGAACCATTTGTGAGGATCTGAAACGTAAACTAGAGCTAGACATCTTTTTAGATAATTTTCTTTGGTGCTTCACAGTAGGCCGAAATGATGAGAAGTTAAGTACCATTTGATTCAGCACCCATTGTAATGACGGTTGGGTGGAAAAGTTTATCAAAAGGCTAACATCCACTTGAACACACAACCCCCGCGATTGTATAATTGTGGACAGTACGGACGCTATAGTGCTGCTGACTTTCCGGGGGATAGAAGAAGGCCAAAAAAATCGCGGAAAATCCCTAAGTAAGGACTTGACAGCCTCTCTGGACGAGTCCCCGGACCTGCTTACTTCATGCCAAAAAAACGATATCTGTCGCCTTTGGCTAACTAATCATTTCTTCGCGTCATCCAATGCTATACCATTCACCAGTAGAGCAACGAGAATTACGGTGTAAAAAGTGAATTCGTGACAGAAAAGTAGCCTTTGAGTTCCCATGAACGGGGCAGTTAGGCAGGCGTCAGAACTGCCACTTATGAGGGTAGCAGCGCCCTTGTTACTTACTGTGAAACTGCAAAAGTGAGACAATTCTTGAGACTGGCCAGACTATATGAGTAGGGAAGGACGCCCACGTAATGGTTGAGCGTGAGGCGTGTCTTTAATATTCCTGTCTTTGCGCTATTTAATGCCCTCTTCCGTCCATGGTTTATGCTTGCTTTGTTCACACAAGAGACGAGTTAAGACCAACGCTGACCGGAAACTCTTGAACTCCGGAGATAACTCCATCACAGTTTTTTATGCTGTGTTTTCTATCAACTGGCCTTGGGTGAATGCTCATTGCTAGTAGTTTAATTGCTCCGAGGTGAAGTTAAGCGAAGCATGAAACCTTCTAAACAAAGAGGAGTGGGGTACATCTGTCAGGCGGTGAATTTACGAGAATCTCTCCTGTTTCACGGAAAAGTAGGCCGTAGTTATTACACGAGTTATTACACGACAAGTGAAAGAAGATTGAGTGTTCTGTTTACCCACTGTCACCTCGAACCACCTCCTCTCTATCCCAATCCTTGAAAAAGGTCTCTGGTTTTGGTTGTGGGGCATCACTTCATGCACAGAGTACATCGTTAGAAAATCTTTCAGTGTTCTGCCCTCGTCTCATTTACACCCACCCCAGACGAATGGCCGATAGGAGCTAAGCAACAGCAATTTGTTAGTAAAAAAATTTCCCGGTTTTTCCTACTCCTTTGGAATAAAATAAAAAGTGTTTACCTTCTAAGCGAAAATGCATAGTCGTAAACACATCATAGTAACGAATAGGCGGTTTATTCGCTTTCATATTGAAGCGTTCAATGAGAATATCGCTAGCACCCCTACACTGACTTCGTAGTATCGGGCTGCGGCGGTACTTCATATGATGGAATTTTTCCATGTGCAGGCATAGATAGAAAATATCACCACACCGGCCCTGACCCAGCGTGTGCTCTGATGAAAATCCGTACAGTAACCAGCGGAAAGGGAAGCTCGTGAATAGATCGGCAATACACGGCACGCTGTTATCGGCTCAGAAGCGAGAACGACAAATTTATTGCTGGAAGAGTACGACGAGGAGAGGCGCAATGGTTAGAGCAGCAGAGAGGCTCAGGATCAGAAGGAAACAACATTCCACATAGCAGCATGAAAACATGAGACAACTGTGATCAAGAGTGATGGCTTGCAACATTCTGGGATAAAAAAGACTCGTTCACAAAACCAAACTTAGAAAGGGAATAGGCAATTGTGGCAGCAATGATGCACAGAAGTCAGATAAAGAACAAAGAGGGTTATGTCATGTTCAAGAACAAGCTCCAAAAAGTCTATTCCAAAAAGAGCAAAAGGCGCAAAAAATCCAAAAAGCTTCTGAACTCTCTGAAAAAAAGTTTTTGCTTCTTCTTGTTTTTAAACATTGCATGAGGCTCTGAGACAGAACTATTCTCACTGAAGATTGTGCTAGCATTCTTGGCGGTAGCCGCAAACGAATAGGGGGCGTAAGCAGCGGCAAATCGAGGCTTAAAAGAATAAAAAACTGGTAAAAAGGACCGATAAGTCATTTTATCCAAGGGACCACTGCAGCCACCGACACAAAACCGACACGTTTTTCGAACGTTTCGGCCAAACTGCCTCACAAGGTTGAAACGGTTTCTCACCGGTTTACAAAATCGCTAACCCCTATTTCGTGGTAATATTCTAGCTGCTCGAACAGTTTAGTATAAGATCAAAGACTAAGGTCAAAGAGAGAGAGAGAGAGATGAGAGAGAGAGAGAGAGAGAGAGATGAAGGAGAGAGAGAGATATAAAAACAGCAGGTCATCCCGTCCAGCACCGACGACAGTGCTCAGGGCTTTTATGTCGCTAACTACTAATTTGCCGAAGGCAGTTCCTGAGATTTCTAAGGATATTTCGTATCTCTCACCAATGCTTACCACCTTAGCTTTCAAAACAGAATTCGCACTGATATTAATTAAAGGTACTTTGAAAACAAATCCCGCGACTGCATAGATAGCGGCGTCCAAATACGAACCCGTGATCACTAAATGACTCTTCAGGGAAGAAAAAGCAAAAAAAAATATGCAGAACTCTCTAAGCAAGGGCTTGGCAGCCTCTATACGACTTATTCGACCTACTCGTTCTAGGCCAGCAAAGCTATAGCCAGCCGTCTCTGTTTATTAATCGCATCTTCACGTCATCCAGTTCTAATACCATCTAACAGTGAAAAAAACAAAACAATAAATACTGTGATAAACTGAACTCGTGACAAAAAATTGCCTTTGCATTTTTGTGGGCGGTACAACTGGGGTGCCATCAGAAATGCCACTTACGAGGGCCGCAGCACATTCTTTACTTATAGAAAAGCCGCGATAGTGGGCAATCTTAGAGACTGAACGCCATGCTAATTACA